GTGAGAAAAGCCGAGCACAGGGCAGGGCTGTGACACCGGCCCGTGGCACCTGCTGGGGACAGGGACTGGGGCTGGGAGGTGGCATGTGCCAGGGCAGACACAGCACCCGAGAAGGGGCTGCTCCCCAAGAGCCACCTGCACCTGGGGACATCCACCTGCACCCGGGGACAGCCACCTGCACCCAGGGACATCCACCTGCACCCGGGGACAGCCACCTGCACCTGGGGACATCCACCTGCACCCAGGGACATCCACCTGCACCCAGAGGCCCTCGTGGGGCTGCACAGGGAGCCAGTGAAGCCACAGAGGAGCGATCAGAAAATGCTGCAGAGCTCTGGGACGGGTTTGTCCCCTCACCTCGGTCCTTCCCGTTCTGCAGCTTCTCTGTTTCTTCTTCATCTTCTTCCTCTGCTTCAGGAAAAAACAAGGAGAGAAAAAGCAGACATGAGACAGGTGGGTGAGAGGAGAGAGGCAATCGTGGAATTGTTTGGGTTGGAAAATCCCTCAGACCATCGAGTCCAGTTGTGCCCCCAGCACTGCCAGGGCCACCGGTGCCCGATGTCCCCAAGTGCCACATCCACAGGGCCTTTAAGCCCCTCCAGGGGTGGGGAGTTCCATCACCTCCCTGGGACCCCTTCCAATGCCTGAGAGCCCCTCCCATGAAGAAATCCTTCCCGAATTTCGGCTGTTTCCCGGTGAGAGCTGTGGGCTCGCTCTGTTTGGCCCAGGTGAGTTCCTGGCAGGGTATTTAGGCAGCAGAGTGGGAGCAGAAGGTCACATTCTCCTGCAGGCGGTGGCTCTTACCTCATCCCACCACTTCCCCCAGACCCGTGCAAAGAGCTGACGGTTCTCCTGAGGGCGGTGTCGCTGCTGCACGAGGGGAAAGCCCCGCCACAGGCACGGCTGGGACGTGCGCTGGGACTGCAGAGCAGACCCCATCCCATCTCCTCAAATGGAAAACGTTCTGGGTGGCATGGGGAGGGGACTGCCACATGCAGACCGAACTAAACAAGTGTGCTTGCACCACGAGGTCTGACGGTTGCATTTACAGAGAGGGGGAGCAGCGTCTTCAGCCAAAGATTGATTTTCCCCTGCATAATTAAATTCGACACAATAGGTCATGTACATGGAGCCAGGGATCTGCAGTTCTTGAGGTTTGGAAGATGCCTTGGGAGGATGCCTTGGGAAGAGGAGGAACCCACTGTTCCCACGCATTATGTTCCCATAATCTAAAGGTTATTTGGGATGATCCCATAAATGTGCCTGCTACAGCTTTTGGAATATCTCTTGGGATTGGCCAAACATCCACTGGCACAGCGACCAAACAGGTGGGAAATGATTTCTTGGGGGTCGTGTGGGACAAACATATGGTCTAAACCTGGAGCTTTAGCTAAAGTCACCCAAACATTGGTTTTAGGTTGGCCAAAGCAGCTGGAGAACAGCAGGAGAACCAGAGGTGTCTGCAGTGGATGTGACCGGGGGGACCTCGCAGACACGTCCTTGGTGGCTTTGAGAGCAGGACAGTGACACGTGGGGGTCACTCAGCTGCACTGGGTCCTGGAAGGGAGAGCTGAGGAGATCAGGGACAAAAGCAGAACCTCTGGAATTTCCAGAACTGTGACCTGGAGCTCAGCGTTGGGGCAGGAGCAGCCAGGGCTGCCCCGGCTCACTGCAGAGCAACACCTCCTGAAAAACCTCCTGAAAAACCTCCTGAGCACCTCCTGAGCACCTCCTGAGCACCTCCTGAAACACCTCCTGAGCACCTCCTGAACACCTCCTGAACACCTCCTGAAACACCTCCTGAACACCTCCTGAAACACCTCCTGAACACCTCCTGAGCACCTCCTGAACACCTCCTGAGAACCTCCTGAGCACCTCCTGAGCACCTCCTGAGCACCTCCTGAGCACCTCCTGAGCACCTCCTGAGCACCTCCTGAAACACCTCCTGAGCACCTCCTGAACACCTCCTGAGCACCTCCTGAGCACCTCCTGAACACCTCCTGAGGACCTCCCTCTGAGCTCAGCTGGAGTGAAAATGGAATAAAAACGGGGTCAGGGTTTCCCCAGCAGCACTGGGACCCTGAGGGTGGCACTTCAGCGTGGACGTGGCACCCGTGGGGCACTGGTGGCCTTGGCAGTGCTGGAGAACAGCAGGACTCACCAGGCTCGGAGATCTTCTCCAGCCTCAGTGACTTTGTGGTTCTGTAACTCTG